AACTTTTAACTCACCAAAACATGTCATTTTAGGTATAAATATTTGTACTGGGTGGTTATATTGGATTTGTGCAAATGATTAAATATTCTACATGTATCTTTTGGCCCTGTTTACCCCAGTGTAGAAGTTAGAATCATTCAAATATGTCATCAGAGACTAACAGTGTATTGATATTCCATGACTATCCAGCAATCTCTTGGTGGCCATCTTGGATTTTGGGCCAACAGGGGGCTCTGGTGAAAGGTCATATCTAAAAGAGCTAACTATACTTTGGTGAGTTAGTATGCCAAATTATATGCATATAAGTCCTCGCACACTATTTTAGAGTTAAAGGATTCCACTGTCGGGACTGATTTATAGATAACTTGTCGGCCATCTTGAAATTGGCGTCCATCTTGAATTTATAAAAATCTGTCATTAGTTGAAAAAGTTTAGTAGAAGTGTGAAGAGCTGAATATCTCTTTAGAAACAGTATGACTATTTTGCAAATTAGACATATTTCCCACACTAGGATTGCTTGGGACTTTTAGTATGTTGTTCTTGGGACCTTATAGAAATGCATTGTGGTAAAATAGGTGAGGTGAGGTGAAATTGGGTTTAACGTCGCGTCCAAGATTATTGCACTTATATAGCGACGTGCATGCACGTGTATGTGTGTGTGTGGCTGCTTGTACTAGTCCGGACTGATGACGATTTATAGTGCTAGCTCACTGAGATACCATACCGCAGTTTAACATGAATACCCCACGCAGACACAGTATACTGACTCCGAGCCGACCAGTCCTTGTTTTAGCCCCTTAATGTCGAGCGCCAGACAGGGTAACAAGTACCATCTTTTAACGTCTTTTGGTATGACGCGGCCGGGGATCGAACCCTGGACCTTCTGCTCTCCGGGCGGACGCTCTACCACTGTGGTAAAATAAATTCTGTTGCAATTTGTTCCAATTTGAGTGAAAAATTGGCCTAGATTGCCTGGACTATTAGCTCATGTGAACTATGTTCACTGGGCCTTTTTGTAAATTGCATAATTGCAGCACTAAAAAATGTTATTATTAGTGGTATTGTTTTGCCATCTGCAGTTTATGATAGAATATGTAAGTGTATTTGTAATGAATAAGGATGAGACATATGGACGAACAACATCTTTATTACAATCAGGAGCGATGTTTTCGGTGTAGGTCTTAACACCATTATCAAGCAAGTGAAGTACAGAGTATGGTTAACAAGTATATATACAGGATAGGAGGCAGTGTTTATACAGTTGAGTAGGTTTAAGATCAGTAACACTGTTGTATTTGTAATGAGTTGGGTTTCTGCATGAAGTTAGTCAGTGAATGCAACAACTGTGTCCATGACACTTTTGGAGGAACATACACACAAGCAATGCAGAACTTACCAACAAGAAAAGGAATGTAATCAATACTGCAAGATAACATTATGTGCCAAGTTTGGTGAAGAAATATGGTACGGTTTTCAAAATCTGCTCCGGAAGCGAGGACTACCGCTATTTTCAGTCTAAATCAAAGTCGTTGCCATGGAACCTCGAAAAATATATTTTTTTTAAATCCCAAATTACCAAAAGGCACCAGTTCGCCACTAGACCTATATATGTACTAAGTTTGGTGAAGAAATATGGTATGGTTTTCAAGATCTGTTCCGGAAACAAAATGTGACGGGATGGCGGACGGCACCCATCTTATGTCCCCCTTCCACTTTGTAGCGGGGTATAATATATCCCATGAACCCCCAGCAAGTATTCGTCATTCTTTCACCCTCGAGGTAATACCTCTATAACATACTTTTGACATGGTCCATGAAAATATGCATGGCCTAAGCTAATTCAGCCGTCTAATAAATAACTCATTCTAATATTTCAGTACACCATATATTTCATTAATCGCTATGAAACTACTTTTGTTTCATATGTCTTTACTGGAGCATTGGCTATCTTAGTCTGTTGCAGTCAAATTAGTGAATATCCCAAATGACCAAAACTATCCGCAACACAATATTACATAATGAGAACTTGAAAGGTATGTAATAATTCTTTTTTTCAAATCGGTGATTATTAGACAACTATAATACATTTTCAACCCTTAGTATATATATATATATATATATATATATATATATATATATATATACATTAATTAATTAATTAATTATACAATGGGATATTAAACGGAATGTCGTTTCGGAAAGGTCTACAAACGCACGTGAAGGTTTGAATTCATCATTCAACATAACGTATTTGATGTAATAAGCGCCCCGCTCTAATAAGCGCCCATGGCTATATTTGCTAATATAATGGCAAGTGAACAATCCCAATTAGCATCCCTTCCGATTGATCAATGTACACAAGACTTATTCATTCGTGTATAATACGCACGCGTGTGTTATATACACCCTAAATTATGGGCAATTAATTTCAGTGAAAAAAATATCTGTCGTATATAAACAGTTCAGGCCGTCAGTATAAACCACGAAATTTATCTTTCAACTTTGTTTTTTCCACGAAAATAATATTCTAATAAGATCCCCCTATTTCTATTTTTGAGAGCGCCCTGGGCGCTTATTACGTCGAATACGGTAAGCCTACAAGGAAAAACGTCAATACATATGTCAAAAACATTTCTCTTATTCTTCCCCGCGGGGAAGTATACGGGAAACGTTAAATTTGTGGCATGTCGACATGTTGGTTTATTTGAAATTTCAAGCCACGCATTTACGGAAACAAAACATACGTCGAATGTGCGTCGAATGTTGATGCTATTCTTTTCCAGCAATAAGAGATTCTTCAAAAGCGTCTTTATGTAGTTAATTGATGCATCTGACCGTTTCTGGTCATTAGCTGACATTATTAAACCATTCATGTGTAATCCGATGTCCTTTTTTCCTCAAGGACTAATTTTCTGATTTTCACGGTGTATACAAAAGAAGAACTGTGCTCCGGAGATCGTAAATAACAGCATAATAAAAAATATGTTCTGAATATGCTTATTCATGAACAACGACGACATCTCAATTTAAATGTAATATGGTTGAATTCCATATTCTACATACCACACTTTTGATTGTTTGGATGCTCATGTTCACTGGAAATATTTGAAATAGTTATATTCCGTATTTTGAATTAACCCAGTCCCCCGTGTGTGTTTTTTAATCAGTGCACCGCACATAACCACATGTGAAACGTTTGGTAGCAAAGTCAAAGCAAAATCGGAGTAGTGTGTCAGCGAATTTGCATCAAGGCTGTAGTATTTTTCAGCCGTTTAATGGAATTCAATGTACAGCCGTAGCTCTGGTCATTCATATATTTTGTGTCCCATAGCTCAAATCTATTTGCGTCTGTACCGTGTTCCAGTGACCTCGATAATCTGTTGGATGAAGGCACAGCTCTCTACAGCCACAAAGTTAACACCGAAGGCTATGAGGAGTATTTAGGTCATAATCAGTCCCGAGCAGCCACTGCCTCAAGCGATATTGTCTACATAACAGATCAGTTTTATGGCTCCGTCACAGGTGTTCCAAATATTAAAGCAGGGAAAACAAATTTCATAGAATCATTTCAAAAAGCAATATTGATATCCCCGTCACTTTTGGTAACTTTTAATGATGTCTCCATTGCAATTTTTACGGATTTCGATTCGTATGCATTATTTGACTGTCATCAGCGGAATGGTCTTGGTCAGATTGATCCGAATGGACAAGCGGTTTTACTTCTGTTTAGTAGTTTGGATGAATTGTCATGTTACATCTTAACAGTATATATATATATCAGGCTACTATGCTTGTCGTAAGAGGCGTCGATCCCAATTGCGTGGATCGATTGCTGAGTGCGGCGTTAAACGACAAACCAATCAATCATCATATGAACTCAAACCAGTCATTGTTACAAGTAAACCACATTCCACAACAGTTACTGACACTGGATAAAAGACAGTATATAGAAAAAAAACCAAGTAACTCAACTCATCATGATCACAATTACTATTCTTTGAAAGAAATAAATAAAAATAAAAACTGACAAAAAAACGTAAAACAAGGGACGAGGAATCTCCGTTATTGATTAGTCCCCTATTGAAATGTTCTCCAACTACGTGATAATATTTTGAGTATGTGCATCTGTGGTTGTGACATAAAGACCTTTATCTAGTATGACTTTTTTTGCCATATGAAGTCCTTAGTATTTTCATTTACATTATTATAACCAAATGCTAAGTGTAAAAAGAATGTGATCTATTTTTTGAGTATGTGCATCTGCCAATGTTGTTGGCAGTTTTGATTCTATTTCCACATGTTTACATTTGTGCCAGAAATTGCTTCCATTTCCTTCGATCTACTTTTTAAATAAAGACCCAGGTAAGAATAGGTCTTCAGCAACCTATGCTTGCCGTAAGAGGCGACGAACAGGATCGGGTAGTCAGGCTCGCCGATTTTGTCGATGCATAACATCATATTCCAATTGCGTAGTTCGATGCTCTTGGTGTCAATCACTGGATGATCTGGTCCAGACTGGATTATTTACAGACCTCCGTGATATGGCTTGAATAATGCTGAGTGCGGCGTTAAACAAGAAATTATTTTTAAATAGACCTACCCTATGCAAATGTATCAACTGTATTGCCCAATACTCAAAATAAATAATATTTTTTTCCACAACAGCGTTGTGTTATTTGTGGTTAATATAATTATGCTCCATCATGCCTTTCAGTAACATCATAATTATGCGTTTGTGAGGCATCACATATGGCGGGGAACTTTGATGCTCTGCATCAATGTTTTCTTGTTGTGTATACACTTCAGTGTGGAACTGACAATCTGGCCTTCGAAAGCGGGACAAGCTTTGTTGTAGGTTACGGACTGTCATGACGGTCGCAGCGAGGAACTTGGGGGATAACTCTCGCGTTGCATTTCGAGCTCCTTCCCACTGCGTAACAAGGGTAACATAGTGATATTTAGAGGTCCACGAACGGTCTATCGCTGTGAGGAGCTGTGAATACACACACACGTGGTGAATCATTCCGTGTCGTTCATCATGTGTAATGCAACCTGAGCAATGTTAACTGCCAGCAGACTTGACATTTTGTTCTGTTAACTGTTTTCACATGTCAAGGGACACCCTAAAATAAATTTTTCATCAGCAATAAGGTTGGACTGGTAAGAATACGATCGACTCTCAAGATTTCTCTTCCCGACCAGGCCGCAGTTCGTACAGGTTGTGATTTACCAGTGAGTATTCTGCTTGTTGCGAACAAAACCATTAAATAATAGTCGCCACTTATCATTATTTCATGCGGAAATATTCAAGTTTGCTTCATGTTCAGTTTGGTTAAAAGCTCGTAAGACGTTATTCAGGCTAAGAAAGCATGGTAAATAAAGCATAAGCAAGTATGCGTGCAGGGCAAAATGTCCGATTTCTCGGGCGAAAGAGACACACCATTTGGCGAAAACGGCTACTAATTGTTGGGAAACGGCACCTCTATTTTTAATAACGATAAGAACTATTTGTGTAGTTGTATATGTGCTTTATTATTTTATGTAGTAGTATATATATACTTTATTTACATGCTTTTTTATGTTATGTTGTATATGCTTAATTGTCAGTTGATTATTAATTGTCATCTTGGTACTTAAAACTTCAAAGCATACAATGACTGCGCCTCCCAATCAAAGTCAGGGAGTAATTTGGACTAGGGACTAATTTCTAATGTAAACTTGTATTATTGTTTTTTATGCAAGTGACCATGTGAGTTTAATATCATATATATTTCAGTACCAAGGTAAAAAATATAGGCGAATCAATGCCATTTTAGCAATAACCCTAAAAGTAATTTTAAGTATATATGGATAATGGAGGAGTAAACCGGGCGACACGTGTTAAGATGTTATTATTCAAACTGGAATCTCATATGTCTGGAGTACCCCAGGAATTGGGGGGTAAATCTTATTTTGTGAGTATGTTTCCCAGCAGATGCATTGATATTCAAATTCAAACTTGGTATCAAAAGATGCATTCTTCTGTATTTCTTTTACACTAAGGATGGTATAATACATTACTCAAGCCTGAATTATATACAACATCAGATTTTGATACAGATCTTATGAGGATGCTTGCTAAATTTCGGTTGTTTGAATTTTCAAGGAAGCACTTCATGGTAAGTTTGCTCACGTGAGGCACTGTCTTCATCAGCTGATGAACGTCAACAAATACAACTTCAATCCTTATATTGACAGATACATAAATCATAACAAAACAATCCATTTAACATCAAACTTTAATTATTGAAAGCCAACTATGTCAATGTGGAGAGTCGTGACTTCATCCGTCCAAAACATTCCATTTGGAGTGACATCCCTTGGTTTAACAAACGGCAAAAAATGGCGGCTACCGCAATGTCATTCGCTTGAAATATAAGTTGCACCCAGTAAAGTTAGCGTTGGAATTGGAAAGAAATCCAGACCCGGCTCAAGTCGACCATTCTCTGTTATATCTTGAATGAACGCTGCATTTCGGTGGCCCGACATATACAAGATCTGTCTGAATTCAAAGCCTGCATCATTCATAGCCTAAATCGATGTCGCTCTCAGTTTTCCCTAATTATTTTTAGTGTTATTTTTAGACATTGGGGAATTCCCCTAAAGTAGTTCTGTATGTCTCCGCATGATTTACAACGTAATGACATGACATACTGACTTTCATCGGGAAATGAATAACAGTCAGCTTGGTAGTATTCACCTAGGTGAGGTCACCCGGTACTGTCAGTATTATCAGATTTTATCGTTATGTTACTCTCCAGCGATGTTGTGAAATAACGTCACAATAATGTAATATTAACATCTTCGAGAGAGGCAATTTCATTCTGGTGGTTTAAAGTGCAAGTATCATGAAAAAATAGTGATAGACTTTTCTTACACACCTGTGGTTGAGAAACCAATTTGAGATAACTGGTATCAAACATTTGTGAGATCGAATTCCAGGCCCGTGATTGGCTACTCCATTGTGATGACCTGGGGTCAGATGATGACGGACTACTTTCCTGAGTGTAAGTCATTCATAAGTTTCTCGTGCTTCAGTCGAATGTTCACCTACGTCTGTATTGAACTACAGGACCATGTAATTGATAATAAAAATAAACAAACTCGTCCTCGTATGCGAGTTTGTTTGTTATTATTATCAGTTACATTATCTGTTGTTATGGCAACATTGTCGTCTTTTCAGAGTGTAATGCACCCCCTTGTTGCCACAGCGACACATGTATCTCCTCTTCAAACCTCACTTCGAAATCGAATAAAATTCGAAATAGATCTACATCACGCAGACTAATACACTCCACAGTTTTGAATTCTGTTCATCATTTACTGTCATTTTAGGCAATTCAGGCAATTACTGAAAGTGACTTCTGAAAATTAGGTCCATTGTAAATCTCACCAAATCACAATTCATGGCGTTCTATAAATATTTACTGTGTGTTTAGAAATCTAAATAGTGGATATTTTCTCGAATAATTCAAGTAGAAAAATAGCATATTAGCGATCACAGGTATCAAATCACTACTGATAATTCTGAAATGTCGCTGATAAGCCCAGAATCGTTTAGAATGTTTTGGAAAATACGCATACACGAATACCGAAATGGTCGTTCCGCCATATTGGATTGTGTTTACAAAATGCCGGTTATGAGACGCCTTTTCGATCAGGTATATTTCAAACTCGGCTGCTATACATGCATCTCTGAAGTCCTCATACATTTTTGAAACAATGGATAAATGGTCTTTGTGCCCAATGCAAATTATCTAGATGAAATCATGCGAAAACTGTACTTGCTGAAATGTAAACAAAGCAAAATTCAGGTTTTACACTGTGAAGCATTTTAGAGGTACTTTCGTCTAATTGTTGCATACATTGGCTCGATCACGCGTTTGAGAATATTCATGGGAAGAGTATCGTTGCACTAATTATGGAATTACACATATATACATTACAATGATGTGGTAAATTCAACAGAAACCGTAAAGGTTTTCGTCCTGTGTGACGCCATGACTGACGCTAAATCACGCATAACGATGACGGTAGTTATCTGCATTTCTGACTAATTCTCTTTGTTACATTGGAAAACATGGTAAACAAATAACAGTACGCAGATTGTCAGAATGTTTCTGATTACTTACGTGACACATTTATGTGTATACGATCCCTCAATCAATGAAAAACCTCCACTGGAAATCCCGCGTTCTGTTGTCAGCGAACACGCCATTTTGTAAAAGTCGGTCATCGGTAGTGATGTCATACGGAAGTAAACATTGTTGTACATATTTGGTAATTTCTTTGAGGTGTAAACTTTCAACTTAGCACCCAGCGTGTTCGTTGTTTTTGTCTAGTTTGCATTTTCATCATCGCCTTGATAATCCACAGATATGACAAACCTTCCATCATTTTGTAGCCAGTATGATGTACAATACGATGACTGAGAAAACAAGTTTGAAAACGTAAACTTAGCACTGTTGAACTTAATTAAAAGTACATATTTTGAGGTCTGTATTTGTAACAACCCAAACAAATCTTAATAGCGCTAACAATTTAAGGAACGTGGTACAGCTGGCTAGGCCTGCAAACTGATTGGGTATTATCACCGGCTGGGTACATGTGATGTTCTGAGGATGACAGACTTGGGAATTGATTCTGAAGACTTTACTGAGTACATGTGAGTGATTGTACATGCTGCCATGCGGTGCCTATTTCCCAAGATGCCTTGCGGCAAGGGAGCAGTTATCGAGTCCCTGCTAGGGAGCATTAATTTACAAAGCTTGCGCACAGAATGTGTGACTACATTACACGATGGTACACTACTCCCCCTTTAAGAGTGAGCGATTAGAAACACTTATCATGCATTATCGCAAAACTTAAATGTCCATATGACTTGAGTCACTGCAAGTTGCACCATACTGCTTGGCAAGAGTCACGACTTAAATTAAGCCAATTAAATGAAGTTAATGAAACATGTGAACTGGTAATTTAACACTGAACTTGAAAATATCATAGATCTGAACTGTCAACTTTTTTGCACAGTGGAATGTCCATTAGGTGGACACAAAGAAATGTCTATAGATCAAGTCTGTTAGGAGCTTTGGATACTCTCGTTGATCTTCGGAGCTGTGGTTCCCGTACTTGTGAAGTTTCCGTGGCACTCTGTTGTTCTGTGTTCTCATCGGGCGTGATGTTGATTGATGGCGAAGGATCTTTCGCGACTGAGAGGTCCTCTGGTGTTTCAGGTACAACCATGTCGTGTGGTGTGACAAGGTTTCAGGTGATCCAGGTGACGGCGAACGGTACATCTGTCTGGAAGTTGTATGCTGCACTGAGAGCTTGACTTATTCACTATTTTGCCTGGAATTGCCAAAGTTAGCAATATACACATTATTGCCAACAGCAAATGACTTGGCTCGAGTATGCGAATCATGGTGAGCCTTCTTTGATTCGTCTGGATGCAGGAGGTCGAGATGTGTTCTCAACTTTCTACCCATCAGGAGCTCTGCGGGTGATTTCCTGGTGGTGGAGTGTGGCATCACTCTGTATCTGAACAGGAACTGGAGAAGTTTCTAAAAAATCCAGCAGAAATAATGAGTAGTTATAGGCCGACAGTGTGAGTGACCATCTCTGAATGCGGGCTGAGGCCATTGGAGGTACTCCTTTATTTTCGTTGAAGAGAGTAAGGAGTGGTTTGTGACGATTCTCAATGTAGAAGTGTCTGCCGAACAAGTAAGAATGATACTTCTTAACACTGAACACTACTGATTACCCCTCCTTTTCTATTTGAGAGTATTTTCTTTTGGTGGTGTTCAGAGTTCTGGAGGCAAATGCCACTGGCTTTTTTGGATTTCATGAAAGCAGTCTCTTGCTCGGGTCCCCATTTCCATTTGGTGTCTTTTCTGAGTAGAATGTGTAGGGGTGCCAGGACACTGGAAATGTTTGGGAGAAACTGCCCGTAATAGTTCAGCAAGCCCAGATAGGACTTAAGTTCTGAGACATCTTTAGGAGCTGGAGCGTCAGCAATGGCTTCAACTTTGTCTTGAACTGGGTGGAGACCTTCACAATCAATGACATGGCCACGATAAACAACCTGTTTAGCCTGGAATATGCACTTCTTTTTTTTTTGACGCGGACACCACATTCATCAAATTTCTTGATCACTGATCTTGCATTTTCCACATGTTCAGGATCATCTTTTCCAG